ATATGCAAACGCGTGCGTGCGTTAATGGTTTTTTGTGTTCTTTTTTTTATTTCTTTAATGCGCTTTCTATGTTTTGGCTATGGGAAAAATGATATTAAGTAAATCTAAATATTTGATACATACTTTTATTGCATAAGACCCAGTAATGTCTGTTACATATAGAATGTTGTTTGAACTCTAAGTGAGCGGTGAAAGTTAAATCTCTATTCAGGTTCGAGGCACCTACTACGAGAATCGTAGGCATGTTTGGGAACCAAAACCGAGACCTCGGATATCGTGACGGTACATCATCAATTTACCATTCAGCTACACTTGACCCTTAACCAACTGGTTTTAGAGGCAATATCTAGGAACTCCGAATCAAAACGTCAGTGAAATTGATTTACCCATATATGTCCATGCATATTGATCTTCTAATTTAATTAATATTAAGCTCGGAAAAGTCAATTTATATAGGTATACTAGCTGACCCAGCGAACTTCGTACCGCCATAAAAAAATAAGGGTTGGTGGTAGAAGGGAGAAAATTTAGGGTTGTATGTAGTTTTGTTTAATGTATCATAAAAAAAAATAAAAATATATAAAATTGAAAAAAAAAATTTAGGGTTGGATTACCCTTAAACATTTAGGGGGATGAAAAATAGATGTTGTCCGATTCTCAGACCTACCCAATATCCACACAAAATTTCATGAGAATCGGGAAAGCCGTTTCGGAGGAGCTTAACCACAAACACCGCGACACGAGAATTTTATATATTAGACTAGCTGTCCCAGCGAACTTCGTACCGCCATAAAAAAATAGGGCTTGGTGGTAGAAGGGCGAAAATTTTGGGTTATATTTATTTTTATATGATTTATCATAAAAAAATTAAAAAAAATATATCTAAAATTGAAAAAAAAAATAGGGGTGGATTACCCTTAACATTTAGGGGCATGAAAAATAGATTACATCCGATACTCAGACCTACTGAATATGCATATAAAATTTCACGAAAATCGGTCGAGCCGTTTCGGAGGAGTTTAACCACAAACACCGCGACACGAGAATTTTATATATTAGATATTCAAATGGACTAAAAAAAATTATTAACAAATGATTATTTCATGATTTTTTGAGGATTAATTAGGTACTAGTTTTCGATGATCATTTAAATAATATCTGCCATTTATATTGAAGATCAATTAAAATTTACGTTTATTGAGTCGAGCAGATCAGGACACGAAATTTTATTATTTATAATTTTATGTAGAATTAGCAAATCTATTATTGTTCGACGATTCCTCAGTGATGTCATACCATATACCGGATGCTTTATACGCTAGATGTCTTGTGAAAGCACGTTGAATGCTTTCAATTCTTGTATTTAATAATATAACCCTTTCCCCTAACCGCCGTTTCCTTTGCTGTCCTCGTCATTTGGTACAGAGATACTGGTGATCTAGGAGAAGGACATAGATTATGTTTATCAGCGAACATAAAACTTAATAGGATGAAAGAGGTTACGTGGGTCTAGTACATTTCCCATACGTTCATCTCTTAATCTCTTATTATACCTTATCATATTTTACTATCACGACAGAAAGTGTGTCCTTCTCATGTAGAATTTGATGAATTTTGGTGTAGAAATACAGAGAGTATTTCCATACTTAGATAAAAGAAACAATTCGATAGCGTAAACCTATTACAGACCGATAGACAAACAGACATAGAGATAGAGTTACTTCAAAATGTATAATATTAATATGCATTTACTTGTGGTTTTGTATAATTCACTGAATGTTAAAAGGATGGCAAGTCAACTTATGACTTGCCTGTTGGTAAGCGGCCACCATAGTTAATAGACACCTTTTTTTTATACGCAGGCAAAAAATACTATTTACAGATGACGGCGCCTTTAAGAGTCACACCGCCGAACGGACCTCACACCTGGCCCCCGCAAGCCTTACGAGCCCCAGCAGTGGCTGCCCACTGAGGACCCCGTAACCCTTACGGGCGCTTTACAGCATAATATCCGCTAAAAACCCTGCGAATACCCTCTAAGCTGCTTAGCGCGAAGCCGCGGGATCCCCGTTTAGGGATTCTTCCGCGTGTAGTTAGTTAATAGACATCTGCGAATCTTGCGATAGTGAATTGCGATACTAATACCATTGGCGCTTTGCCTACCTTAAACCCATTCCCAATACCGCGGAGGTCTAGAAGTTCTGGAACCTTAATCATCGACGGAAACACAACAGCACCCGAAGGTAGTGTTATTTTACTGTATTTTACTTTATGAAAGAGCTTTACTTCCCAAAGGACCAAGCGCGCTGGCCTACGTTGCCACCGACTTACTGTGGCCACTATTCCTACACGAACAAAGATATTTGGTGACTCATTTCTTTGTCGTACTATTCGTAAGTGGAACGCTTTACCCGCACAAGTGTTCCCTCCTTCCTATAATCTGGGGTCCTTTAAGAGAGGCGTGAAGAAGCATTTTTGCAGGCCGGCAAGGTGAGGATGATCGGTGTAGCAGTTTTTAACTGCTGTACCAGCTATCTTCGCGTTTGGACTTTATTACCATTTAACATCAGGTGGGGTAGTCATTTGCCTACCTCTATATAAAAAAAAGTAAATATAACCGGCGCACCAATTCAAGCGGGAATCCTCTATGCCATACCTCTTTTCATTTCTTTATTTTTAAATACTTAACATTCATTTTAGCTTTAATCGTAATTCATAGGGTGTAAAAATACCCTTCTTTAAATAAAACCTCCTTTATTTAAAAACATTTCTTATGTTTTACGTGAACGCAACAACCAATCTATATATATAAAAATGAAACCCGTTTTCCGTTGTCACGACATAACATGAAAACGGCTTGACCGATTTGGCTGTTTTTTTTTTGTAGTTTTCTAATACTCTGTACAAGTTTCTTACGGAAAAAAATATAAAGAAAATCCCAAGGGGATAAAATAAGGAATGAAAGTTTGTATGAAACTTTATCAATTTTAAACCGATCGGGCTGAGACTTTGCATGCAGGTATAAGAAAAATCATAGATGAATGTCATTGTGTATAATACAAGCCTGAGAACAAAAACTGTAGTCTACACTTCAGCTCTACACCGAAGCGAAGCGAGGGCGGGCCGCTAGTATTTTATATATACTAAAATTAATTATCGTTTCATTGTAGGTAGGTAATTTAGTTATCTCTACAACATTAGTGACGTAACAGCAGGACGTGGTATAGGGGCAGCGATAGCGTGAGAGATGCCATCCCAAAACTTCAATATCGATAAAACTAACTTTTTCGATGTTTAAACTGGAACGGAATGTCTATGTTCCGTCCAAGATTTAGACATAAATGTAACTCAAAGGCCATAATATGCTATAGGATTGAACTTTGACTAAGGCTTCTTTTAAAACCTTAGGTATCTACAGTGCCGTCTTTGACCTATTAGAGGTCCTGGGCATATTAGGATAATGGGCCCCCTATGACCCCCATTTTTTGATCTAACAGGAACTAGGGACTTTGTATTTGATCTGAGGTGGGCCCCTATTGATTGCGGGGCCCTGGGCACTTGCCCAAAGTGCCCACTGGGAAAGATGTGTCTGGGTACCTATGTGTGTGACTGGTCAATAACAAAACTTAAAAGTGGCGAGGATTTGTCTTATAAATGTAAGTGCTACCTATGTTCCTCCATTGGTCATACCTCAATAATTCAACATCTCTGTGGAAAAAAGGAAATAGCGCGTTTAGTTTTTCTTTTACCACCAAACTTTTATACATTTAACATTTTTTGTAATGAAATTCTAACATAGGTTAAGAAAATTTATTACTAACATATGTAAGACCATGTCTTGAAATAAAAGATATTTTTATTTTTTTTAACACATAATTGCCATTGCGTCCGACACGATGCGATTCATTGATAGAATTATATTAATTAAAACATAATTTAACAACAGTACCTTTTATTGTTTCTCTGTATATCATAACATGGTTAATAAATAGCAATATCAAATTAAGTTTCAGTCAAAATTAAACCCATTTTGTGTATAATCTTAAGTACAAAATCCTTTAAATATGATTATTTAAATAAATGAACATAGGAAAAGCAAATAATGTTAATTGGAATGTTTCATTAAAAGTATCGATAAGTATTATGTTGGATTTTGAAATAATGCCGTCCCCCAGGAGCCCTTGTCGCGAGCCGCGAGCCAGGTGTTGGGGTCATTGCTTTAGGTGTGTGTGAGTGTGTGTGTGACAGAGGGTGCACACACAATCGCGATGCTAGTTAGGGGTTTCCAATGAATAATGCTGGCACAATTCTAATATCATGTTACTAAAAGGGTGGACAGGATATGCAAATGTATGTTTCTTTTTATCACCAAAGTCTTGCTTTGTGAGATTGCGAGTTTCATTAAATGTGAAGGGATATTAAAGAAGTGTCCATCCTATTTATTCTATAGCAAAAATTAAATAGCAGACAACAAAAAAAATACAATTTCTTTCTACAAATTGAAATATTCTCAACCGCAACTGTTTTCGTTTAAGATTTAATGTTAGAAAGGGAAAAACGTGTAGTTTATAAGGCTTTCCAGCTAGAAGTTCCGCCATGAGGCAAGCTCAGAAGTAAGTACGTAGGTCGGAGTGACAGCATTACAGCAATACTCGAACGAGGGCACAACCCTTACTATTCTGGCATAAACATTCACTAACGCTACATTTCCAATAGGAAAATGTAACATTGCCGCATTACGTTACTGGCTATGTACACGTAAGACGTCGGAAAGAGCAATGAATAGTGCGCAACATGTACAGCACCAGAGCTAGAATTGTAACGCCTCAGGGTAGGTTGAGGGTGCATTGTGGAGCGTACTCGCTAGCTAACTGGACATAAGGATTCATTCGCGATTGAAAATAGAATCGTAATGCTGGTTGCTACGGCTTAAATTTGTGGAGCAACGCAACTAGATAGGTCGTTAGTCGACGAGGGTTAAGAAATAGGGGTGTTTGCAGGATGCGGGGCGAAGGGACGGCAGGGTGCGTCGCGCAGGCGTGATTCAGTCGCCCGCGCGACCCCGCTGCCGCCGGCCGCGCGCCATGGACGAGACCAGAGCACGAGATCGCGCGCCGCTCACCGTCATCGTCGCCCCGAGCAACGCTTCGCCCCCAAGACTATCGCCTGCGGACCTCTTACCCGACGGCGATGCGGCGTTCCACCCCCTGTCAGCAGTCAACGGCCGCCTGACACCGCCGGGGCTCGAGCCAGCGTCTTACGCGACATTGACTCCACTCCTCCCTCTGCCTCCCATAAGTACCGTCTCGGACAAGTTCGCTTACCATGCAGGCGGTACGTTCACGGTTATACAGCAGCAACAGTCCTACGCATCGTTATCGCCCACCGGTTACAATGAGCCGTTATCACCACAATCGGCGTACAGCAGGCGGAGTGCGTCACCGAACTCGTTCGAGAGGCGGTCGCCGACGCCGCCGCTGCCGAGCCCGGGGTTGGACCTCAACGCCGCGTTGATGGCGAGGGAGGAACAACAACAGGCGCAGCAGCAAGCACAAAATGACACAGAGGAGATAAACACGAAGGAATTAGCGCAAAGGATAAGCGGGGAGTTGAAACGGTACTCGATCCCCCAAGCGATATTCGCGCAGAGGGTGCTATGTAGGTCACAAGGGACGCTGAGCGATTTGCTACGGAACCCGAAGCCGTGGTCGAAGCTAAAATCGGGTCGGGAAACGTTCAGGAGAATGTGGAAATGGCTGCAGGAGCCCGAGTTTCAGCGGATGTCCGCTTTGAGGCTAGCTGGTGAGTTGTGCATGATGCTTTTTAGTGTTATCTTGTATGTAGTTAGTATGTGGTATGTTTGACGTAAACTTAGACAGTTTTAAGTAAGATTATGAGGATATTTTACTAATAACGTCAAGTGTTACTTAATAACTGAAAAAAAGAATAATTAGGGTTTGGGCCGAATAAAACAAAATACGAGATAAAAAAAAGATAAGATATAACCCAACTTAAATGTCGAAAAGTCACTATTTTATTTCTTATGATAATAAATAAAAATGGTTTTCATGCTTTTACAACACTTAAGTAAATTAACATAACTGAAATATTCTTTAAGCATCATTGAATCTATACTAAATATTTGTTTGTTTGTGTTGACTAGACTCCGAAAGTACTGGACTGTTTTGAAAAATTCTTTCACATTAAGAATCCCTCATTATCCTTGATGAACATAGATTATAGAGTATTTCCAAAAAGTTAGGGTTTGGTATGAAAATTTCGATAACGTACCCCAGGGTGTGAAAAAAATACCAAAAAATAAACTTATATCGCTTACGCTGCGGAAGTCATTGATAGTAGAGCTAAGTGATGTACTAAAGTTTTGTAGAGGACATTAATATCTACAAAAAAGTCCGCAATACCATATGTCTAACTATTACAGTTATGTCACAACTAAAGGTTCCCTGCGGTTTTACCAGCGTTAATTTGAGAAGAAAGGTTATAGTGAGCCATACTTAAAAGATGGGCATATGCTGTCCTGGACTTTTTAGAACTTTTAAAGGGAACAATTCCGCCATACATGATTTTTGTATAACTTTAATCATTTACGCAGCGCACGCAACGGAAACTCAAAAATGGAATATTTGTACCCGTTTTTGCAACATTTTACATCGATGGTCCACTCCTACTGGTCTTAGCGTGATAGCAGTATAGTCTAACCACTAGTTTAATAGTATAACCAAAAATTAGGACAAATAAAAATTTTGGACAGAAATATGTAATGACACAGACTCTGCATAAAAATCATTATGTAGTCTTTAAAAAAATTGTAAGCGCCTTTTAAGTAAAGACTTGTCTCCACTCACGTTATTAAGCACGTACATAATATATTTGTCAACATACTAAAAATCGATACATATATAAACATTGTGAATGTCAGCTGCTAGCATCGATTCGGCGAGCATCGATTCCACGCGGTCGATGCGTCGCGACACTACGCGTTCGATATCCATTGCCGCGTGATAGATCCCTATATCCTTTAATTTTCTATTGTTATAATGATTTACCTTGTCATAATATAACTGTTACTAAAATTCTAATGAGTAAACTTAAGTCATTTTGAGTATTTTTCTACGCGGGTTCTTAACTGACCTAGCCTTAACTCAACTTTGATCAAGTTGACTTATAAAAAGCTTTTTTGAATCGTCCTTACATTTTTTCCTAACACTTGTTTAGGACATCTTTTAGCTGACAAGAAGAATAAGCAAAAGAAACTTCTCAACCTTTTATGAAGTAAGCGACGTTTACATAAATTATGTACTTTGATGATAGTGGGAAAACGAAAAACTTTTACAGTATAGTAAATATTGGCCACTGCTCTAAATCAGTTAAAGATATCTTTCATTAACTCACCTTTTTAATTCATTCTGTTTGTTCTTAATTTTGGTAACTGCCTTTTGGTATAAGAATGCTTTGTTATTTTTTATAATGCTGCATTTTAAGATTTTATCCCTACTAGATTTGTTGATGTACGAGCAAATTACATTGTTACATAGGCGCAGAAAATCAAAACAATAGATTATAGTGATGTCATCACATCATTAAGTTATTTTACTTTATCACAAAATTATGATTGATGACAAAGATTTCATATTAATCAATAGGAAATTGGAATCGAATCAGAATTGAAATGGACCTGAGATTTTTTAATAATAAATATAATGTAAAAGTGGGGCGTCATTAAGATTTCCCTATATGATGCTGTAGCGTCTTTGTTAAATTTTTTTATACAAGGCGTAGATAATTACGTGACGCGTAAGTGTAGTCCAGCCGCTAAGATCGCTGATGCGGCAGGAGCTTTTTTTATATAAATATATTTTATAGAGGGCATACGAGCAGATGGCTCACCTGATGGTAAGTCATTACAATCGCCCATAGACATCTGCAACACCAGGAGTACCAAAAATACAATGCCAGCCTTAAAAGAAGGAGTGTGCTCTTTTTTTGAAGGTTTATGGGTCGTATTGCTAGCTAACCGTAACTTGCTGAGCTGCACCCTATCTTCTATTCCGTGAAGTCATGGAGTCTCACTCACCAACAGAAATACAACACCAGCAAAAGGAAGTGGTAGTTATATTACAGTGGTCATCTGTAAGGGGGTACTTGCTTTCTTAAGCGGGCGCTTAAAATCGGGTGGAAAATCCGTTATGCATGCCCTACCTCTATTAAGACTCTTTTGTATCAACCCGATGTTATGTTTTGTGACGTAAAACTTGTAAATGAAACGATTCCTTGTATGATTTTCCATTAAGTTAATTAATAATTTAATAAAGATTGTGAGCAAACTCCGGACGCGCAGCTACCCCAAGGGCTTTACATTGATATACTGCGACGCATAAAGACTGAACTTTAACCTAATGAAGTTTTCATTTTAGGGTTCCCCAATATGTAACAATTGAACTTTATTACTAAGCCAACAGACGACAGATGGAACCCATAGAAATCGGGCAAGAGTAAAAAATTTTCACCAAGTGTGTATTTATAATGGGGCTATTATTAAAAATAAAATAATTTTAAGTACTTAAGGGGACGCGATTTATTACCACGTTTTCTGCTGGACCTTCGCAATTGCTATAAATCAAATGATAGTCCTTTTAGGATGGCAAAGAACCCTTCGTATACGAATCCAACTTACACTTGGTCGGAATTTTAAGTGACCAGTGTGTATGAAGTCATAAGATTTCAATTGTTTTTGACTATTAGTTTTTATTAAACTTAGAAGTTGAATTAATATAAAATTAGCGTTTGGTGTTGGTTATCATTGGAAAAATAATTATTGTGTGTTCAGACCGGACTATAGTCAACGTATTCTCGAACCATTGTGCACAACGTACAAACTAAATAAATTCGCGTATCACCAAAGGAGATGTAATTTCCTCAACTTCGCAGCTTAAAGCTTACAAGAAATATTCTTTTTAATAATATCCAAATTATGTGATATTCTTAGTAAATTAATATCAAAAATGCAGTTTTTTTTAATGCCTACCTGGATTTTTATGTCTGCGAGCAGAGTTAACACGCGTATCTATACATTTTTTAAGATAACCATTGCAAATAACGTTTATGCAAAAAAAAAACATTTGAATACATATCTGGCCCCGATGTGGATTGCACGCAGTATGCGTCCGTTTTCGTTATCTGTTATCGTGCCGTGAACGTCAGCTGCTAGCATCGATTCGCCGAGCATCGATTCCGCGCGGTCGATGCGTCGCGTCACTACGCGTTCGATATCCATTGCCTCACAGCGCCGAGGTCACCGCCACGGACACGTATTAGGGAGGCGTGGTTGACAAAGAAACGTTTACGTAAATACAGACATTACAATTATAAAAGAAACAATAACGTATTAGATCTTCTAATATTTTACTTCAAAGTAAACAAGTCTGTTTATCAGAAAAATTGTGCTTAATAAATAGAAGAATTCAGCAAAATACAAACTTTAAATAACTCTGCGTGAATGTGAAATTGAGAACAACATAATGTACATGCTCCCTCCTTAAAAAAAAAATTATATTATATTTGAATAACATTTTTATTACACATACAGTACAGCTCAATTTTTCAGTATTCAGATTATATTTCATATCCTATACTACACTAAAAACACTTACTTCTTGCTCAAAAATAAACAATAGATTTAAAGCTTAAACTTATTTAAATAGTTTTTTATTAACATTGTAAATAACAGTTTTGTAAACAAAGGTACCTAAATAGGTAGATGTTTAATCCTATCTACGCAGTCGATAACAATGTTTAGGACGAACAGTTATCGCTTATCGTATAGTAAGCGAACGACAGCTGCTGAATCGATTCGCGGAGTATCGATTCCGCGCGGTCGATTCGTCGCGTCACTACGCGTTCAATATCCAATGCCTCAAAACATCGAAGCCGCCACCATGGACAGGGTACATACAAAGCAGGCGAGATGTTAGTAAAAGAAATAGTTAATCAATATCGAGAAACAATATTTTTGTTTATGAATTTTTTTTTATTTATTTATTAGAAGTTGTGCAGTGAAATTTCTGCCTGGAGAAGTTAAATATTCTTTAGTAACATGTGAACGACACTTTGTAGGCACCAAAAGGCTATAGAGATTGTTTGTCATCACTGTCGGTATATCTGTTTTTCCTCTAGTTTACCTGTTAAATGGTTCTATGTACGAAAAATGAAGTATTTTTCTTAACTCTGTGGAATACTGCAATCAGTGTAATTTCATTTCATAAGCGGCAGAAACTAGAACGACAACATTAAAAAGCAATTTTAGCATTTGCATTAGTTCTTTTTCGAAATGTGAAAGTGTAATTATATCAGCGAGTATAGCGTGCGTGAAATAAGTAAAATTAAACGTGTACCAAAATAATTGCTCCTCGTGCCGTGTTTCTAGTCTTACATGCGCGTCGATAAATTTGTATGAATGATAAAATCATCGATATGAAATATCGAAAATATAATCCCCATGAATTATGAACTAAGGTTTAGATAAAGATAGCAAAAAAAGAGCATTTCATCATATTATTTATTACCACTATAGATAAATATGATAAATATTTTTGAAGTCTATCATATAAACTAACTACGAAGCTCTAATGGAAAACTATGGTGTAAGCAGATAATTGTATATGTATAATCACAATGTGTCAAGCACATAGTGTGATAGATTAATTTGACTATTTCTAGCCAGTATGGCTCATATGGATCCTCCAAAAAGCTTTCGACCGCAATTTTGCCAGCGTTAATAGTTAAATTTTATAAAAGTCACAGTACAGGAACCTATCACTTCTCTACTATGTGTGTTCTAAAATTTATTAAATTTTCCGTTGCCGTTTCTTCATGATTGAGTAGCATACATACGAATTTTCGCATTTATTATATTAGTAGGTTCATATCAAACTTACAAGCGAGCCCTTATCGCTTATCGCAGAGCGAACGTCAGCTGTTCGCATTGATTCGCCGAGCATCGATTCCGCGCGGTCGATGCGGTGCGGCGCGTCACTTCACTAGACGTTCGATATCCATTGCCGCGTCGCGTTGGGGTCAACGGCACACTCACATCGCTAGATTTGGAGGGAAAATATTTTCTTATAACTTATTAGGCTTAAATTTAATACTTTAAAAAATTGTCCTACAACCCGGGGTCCTTTAAAAGAGGCGTGAAGTAGTGGCAAGTAAAACTGCTTCACCAGGTATCTTCGTGTCATGTCTCCATTGTCACTTAACATCAGCTAGGTGGAGTCTTGTGCTCTGATCTATATTTAATAAAGACATGAGATAGTTTTGTATCATATTCTTATTTATTCATTTAAATTTTAAATTTCAAAAGTATCAAAGATAAATTTGAATTTTTTGAAGATATGTAAAATATGTGAAATAGTAACCAACAATAATGAGATTTTGGTGTCGATTCTGGCACGATTCTCTAAATCTAAACTTGAATTTGGCAAGAGTGTATCCTTGTCATTCTCTATACAGAATGAAAAGGAGAGACTGATGTCAAATTTAGTTTTAAGTTTAGAGAATCACGCCAGAATTAACACCATTGAAGCCTATTCTACATACACAATGGAAAAATCGTTAATATTTGGAATATAGATAATGATTTAAAGAAAATTGTATTGAATTGAATAAGGGATGATGTTATAGAAAGAACTGTAGCTAGTGAGTGTGGATCTTTTGAGTCTATATCACAGAATCTCTATTCACCCAAATGAGATATCTCATATAAGTTAACATATTGTGTAGACGTTAGTATTTCTTTTTGGATGATAAGCCAGACCATTATTATAAAAAGGTCATTATCATTAACAATCTTCGTGGACGAGTGGTTTGTACGCCGGGTTTCAGGGTGTCGCCGACTTGAGAGTTTCCGGGTTCGAATTCCGCCAGGAGCAGATGTTTGTGGATGAATACGAGCATTTGCCGTACTCCAGTCATGGATGTTTAATATTCTATAAAAATATACTTATATATGTACAGTATATGTATTCTATCCGTTACCCTATTATCCCAACATACAAGCCTACAGTACTAGGCTAATTGGTGTGAGTGTTAGAAATATTTATTAATTATTTATTTATTCATGCTTAAGTTTTAATATTTTATTTAAAAAGGCTTTTTTTAAGAGCGCAAAGGTACAAACAATTGGTCACGATCGTTATCTTTAACTGTTTTTACTTTCAAGAAATTCGTGGAATTATGTTTCTCATATATCTTTCCCGATTCTTCAAAAGAGTGCATAGCTGTCTGTGTTTTGCTTTAATATTTTTTGACTCCAATGCATTATCTAGCCTTGTCAAATGACAAATATCTAATTTCTGTAAGAATGTATTTCATATTTTATTAAATAGGAAAATCACTGCGGCCTCAATATTTCTACACGAACAAAGAAATTTGCTGACTCATTTCTTTTTCGTACTATTCGCAAGTGGAATTCTTTGCCCACGTTCGTGTCTCTTTCCTACAAGCTAGGGTCCTGAGGTCCTTTAAAAGAAGTGTTATGAAACATTTCTGTAGACTGACAAGGTATGGGTAGTTGGTGTGGCAGTTCATAACTGCTGCACCAGTTATCTTCGTGTCCGGACTTTACCACCATTAAACATCAGGTGGGGTAGAGTCATTTGCTTACCTAGCTATAAAAAAAAAAATTACAGAAAGAACAAAAAAGGTATTGCTTTCTTTACTGGCTTCTGGTCAAGATGTTTTATTGGAACAATTTTATTTATGTATGTTCTTGTTCACATTTATTCTAATTTTCTTGTGGGGACACCTGTTAGAAGCTTAAAATCCTCATATTTGGCTTCATCTGAGGGAGGACGAATCTCGTAGACGTCTGATTTCGTACTGAGTTGTTACAGAGGGCATTTATTCATCTGTATTCCCAACACTGATCTAGTACTTACTTACAAGGTAAAAACTACATAATTTCTATCGGTACAAACTAAAAAGACACTTCTATATCAAGAGAGCCAGTGACTGGTTTGAACTGGGTTCTTGTTATTATGTCACTTAACATAGTTTCATGCCCTTATTGCGTGGTAGGAAAACGAGATACGATGAGAGATATTTTAATACGTTGTAGTAAAAATATCATCCCTCTAGAGATACGGAGATAAAAGTAGAATACCATAACAGTTAGTTCGATTTATTAAAGAAATATAAAGAGTTATTACTTTAATTATAACGCGGTGTTAGTGTGAAATGTGTACGAATGGCGAAGGCAGTCGCAGTGGGCACATGGCGGCGTGTGACGTCACGCCTCCTCCCGCCCCGCAGTATCGATCGCGCGCCATCTCCCCGCCGCCTGTAGACGGCTCTGTTATGTTGGCGGTTTTGGTTTTCTTCGCACTATACGAATTTTCATTCAGCACTTTTAAAAAAATAAAAAGATTAAATCTTTATAGACTTTATCAAACTCTAAACACAATGGTATCTTGTCCTTAATAAGTAGAAAGGTATCTATATTATATTCAGAAGAAATCAGAGCAATTTATTTTGGTTAGGTAATTTTTGTTGATACAAATCTCTTCCCGTAAACTTGATAAAGGCAAAATTTATGGTCATTCTATATCAGCAATATTTAAATATTTCAAAGTAATTATATTACGTAAAAAAAAGTACTAAGCACAAACTGAAATTTCTCGATTTAAATAAAGCAGAAAAAAACGTTATAAATAATATTAACATACGTTATTCCTATTTTCGCTGTAAAAAAATACTGAGCCACATAACCGGAGTACAAGTACAGCTAGAAGACATTCATGTAAATCTGATTTTCAGATGCGCCAACCCAGCAAACGGTTAAAGGCGACAATGTAAACAACACGCCACCGCAGGCATACTGCCAGACCCGGGAGTACCAGCCTCCGGGGCAACAGGGGCTACCTATGTACCCACCTGGGCCCCATCACTGGGACAGACAGGCGTATGAGCCAGCCGGGGACGTTTCTTGCTTGTGAGTCCCGTCCACATTGATTTCGATCCTGGTTTCCTACAGATTCCCATCGATCCCCGAAAATCCGATTTTGTTTATTTTTTTGATGATTTATATGATTTCTTCATTCGTAATTATGAATTATGGGCTGAAAATATGTTTTAGAGCAAAAAAAAAACAAAATACAAAGGTTCTTTATGGCGTTATCGACCGTTAATTGAGTTTTAACCCCATCAAATTCACTTGTTGATTACTATAACTCGAGAATATTTGTAAAACAGAGAGATAACGATTATTATTGTGTATGTTTATGTTGTATTCAGATGTTATTTCGATTATCTTATTTTTTGTTGCTTTCAACAAAAAAACCTTAAGGCAATTTTCAAAATTAAAATATATTTTATTTGTGTTTTGATCAATTTAAAAGTCATTAATATCATTATCTACCTTCCTTATCCTGTCCAACTATCCTGTGGCTGCGTAGCAGTGGACTTGGTTTCTTATAGGTATTATGATGTATAACATAGCTTGTCGCAAAGGTAAAACAAACTTAGAATCGACGTGTAATATATTGTCTATTAATTATTACTGGATTAATAAAGTTATGATTTATTGTTTATTGAAACAAATTGCTTTGTGACAAGCCATAATATAGTTTAAAGGGAGAATGTTTGGCTGATTATATTTATTTATTTTCATTTCTTTATCGAAATTATGAAAATAAATGTGTAAAATGTATAGAGATTTGCTCTTATAGATGTTCGTTTATATATTTTATTTGGATAGGCAGTATCATTTCCTGAGTATCACTTGGATTGATTTTTTTCTGATTTATGTAAGATGGTGAAATGGCAAAGATACTGCCTAGACAAGAAAGAGTCATTGTTAATGTCCTAGACGATATTTTTTTGAAATAATGTTTTATAGCTGTAGGTAAGTGTATTTTGTTAGCTTCAAGAAGCCAAGATGAATGTTAGACTGCCACCGCGCCCCCTTCCTTCCCTTTTTGTTTTCCCAACGCCCGGGCTGCAATAGTTTTATTTACAATATGATTTTATAGGTGCCTGCGAGATATCAGACCCTTTATTAATGTTGTTTACATTGTCGCCAGGTATGCATTTTCTTTAAATAATAAACATTTTATGTCTAGCGTGTCCTAATATTATGGAACGATTTGTTCAAAGAATTTTGAATCCTTGTTACCACTCATTTTAACATTAGTAAAATAATTGTTCCACTATATTGGACTTCCAATAGTGAAAGTAGATGAAATGACGTTTTAATATTACTCGTTATAGATATGATTGCCTCAAATGAAGTTTAAAGGCAAGCATTAGATCCAGTAGTGCAATTCTGTAAAACCCATAATCTCATCTCACTGTGTGTGTCGGATCCGTTTTGCTTTCGTTCTCTAGGTTTCGCTTCACGGAATTTTCGCATTCTGTAACCAATTGTACAAGCAAGTGAAGCGAGATGTCATTTATATCCTAAGTAATTTGTAGTGTTACCATTTTAAAAGTTTTTGGTAAATCGAGATATATCGACTTAGTTATTATGCGTGAAAAAAAGCACGTAAATTTATTCTTTAGATATATTTGTAGATATGAGGCTCAAGTTTAAAGTTTTAATGAATGTAAACTTAAAATAGTCTTATTTTTAAAGTTTGGTGACATGGACGAATCAGGGCTTACTCTATGCGCATCTCTGTAATCGAGTGGAAATCGACACTAGCGCTACTAAGTGAGAGTGGCGGTTTAGTAAACTATCACAGGTGAGACCGTAACATACCTAAATGTCTTTGACGTTTCAATGGCATTCTGTAACGAATTTCAGCGCTTGTTTACACCTCACATTAAAAACCGCACTCGAAAGTAACTGTCAAAATAAAAGTTACTCATTAGCTGCGGTAATAGAAGTGATTGTACGAAGTGAGTATTTTTGTAGACTATTATCATCATAAAACAAGAGTAGGTAATTATTAAATTATTTATAATTACGTTGCTTTTGTTTATTTAAGTAATAATTCTTTAAAATTATGTCTATCTAGTATTTCAGATGACTCACTCTATTACTTGCTTTTTACTATAGAAAGCCCATGTATGATGTAGATTTGGCCAGAAGCCGCCTACAAGCCCAATTTCTGTGTAACCTTGAGTAATTTCATGTGAAGATGAATATGTGACTAAATAAAGATTTTTTCAACAATTGGAAAATGATTTAAAGTATTCATTTAGAAGAAACCAAGTGTAATGGAAAAGGATTATCCAATAGAATGAAGGTAAAGTACCTATTTGCCTAACAAAAATAAAACCCAACCAAGAAACTTTTTATAACAATTATATAAGAATAAAATTTTTTTTTGTTTCAGATACTGTGTACACTTTCATTTGTGCAAATGAGAGTTACTAAGGATAATAGGGCAAAAAATTACACACATTTATCCCAACCATCAATATCAAGACTTGTAAATGAAATTGCCACCTTTTTAAGATTTTATGTCATCCAGACATAACAAAATGCATCACAATGCCAAGTGATAAAGAATTGGTAAGTAAACTTTAATTCACTACAATTAAACAAATACTTGGGCAAATAGGTGTACAAAAGATATAATAAAGTAGAACCCTCGGTATAAATATTACATATAATTCAAGTAGAACAGTGTTTCTTAGTTTTTGCAATCCTTTACTTTAATTATTTTAGAATATTTTATGTGGGTAATAAAATTTCTATTTGTAGTTTATTTAAATTATCTAATACTTAAGTAGTAAACAGAGCTATTCAGGACCACTTTTTATTTAATTATTTTTTAATGCCTTTACATTACATATGGAGGTCTTAATGCCAGCATAGCATTCTCTACCAGTCAACCGGAAGGAACGAGAGTCAATAAACGACATTTAACTTTGGTTTAGACCAATTTACCTTTAAAAAAACTACTAGGTATATTTTTTTGGAGTTATTTTAATAAACTTTACTTTTGTTACAGATTTTTGGAGAAATTTAAAATGCCTGCAGCTGTTGGTAGTAAAGACTGTACCTTTATCACCATAATAAGGCCAAAAGAACCTTTAGTAAAAAGCATAAAGCAACGGTGTAGTGTAAACATTAAATGTAGTTAATGTTAATTGAATAAATATATTTTGATTTAAAAAATAGTCACTCATATTTTTAACCCTTCACCACAGTAAACTACAAAAGTAATGATTTTATTGAACTATTTCATCATCAGCCTCCACATCCTGCCCCCACTGTTGAGGCAGATGGAATAGGGAGACTGGCCATGACCCACCTAGTAGTAGGACCTAGTGCGGACTGATCAGTGCTAAGGACTGCTGATGCAGCTGGGACCAATAGATTGATGTGTCATCTGAAACACGGAGAAGATCGAGATAATAAGTTTTTGGTCACCCATACAATTACCAAAAGTTGCCTAACTTTCATGAATGCAGGACGAATACTCTAAGCACCTGCGTCTCCGGGCTCCTCTTTATTTAGATTGAACGTTTTAAATGTTCTACATAAAAACTAACTATTTAAGAATTAGTTTCTGTGTAGTTCCTATATTTAATATACATACCTACTTAATTCTGAATGATATATAATATAGACCGGCGAGTTGCGTAAACCCCCATTGCAATGAAAATGAAGATAAATTAATAAAAGGGTGATTATTTATAGTAAAACTCATTAAAATAAATATGTAACATTTTTATTCATAAATTATGACAGATGCCTTTGAAACTATACATTACATTGTCACATTTTTGTCAGAGATGCTCGTCAGCCTATTTGCCAATTTTTATGTTTTTTTTTGTATATAAATAAAGAGAAAATTGAATATTAATCGATGCTTTTCTGAACAAGTATCTGAGTGGTGTTATATAAAGCAGTAGTAGTGGATCACTAAATAGCTCAGTGATTATTACTTCCATCTGTCAAAAGCAGTTGGCGAATAGGCCTACTGTGGTCTGTCTGGTGTGGTCTGCAGGTTGTAGATGTAGCTGGCGCAGTGACCACTTCTCATGAATATAATGTAAGCAGTCTAGCACCGCAACAATAGGCCGTGTGTCATTAGACAAATTTTAACAGAGATCTTTGTTGAGATGGAGGCGAATACTGCAAAGGACTTGTTGTGCGTGTTGCTGAAATAAAAAAAAAATATATAAGTTGTTGAATAACAACAATAAATGTCACAATTATGATTGGGCCTGGGTCAGAATAAACTTATTAATGATACCTACTCTTTTTTTCTTTTAACACAAACTTTATGATTTTTATAAAAGTATTGAGATAAGAAAATAATCAATATTATTACATTCTATTAATACGTACTTGGAGCACTATATTCGGAAATATTCACAACTACAAAATAACAATATGTACGAATCAAATTTTCCCTTATTGTCTTTTTACAATGACACTTATAAATAAATCCGAAAATATATAAAAAGAACATAAATAAAAAAATAATTAAAAGAACTTATTTTCTAATGTGCCAGTGCCTGCGAGCAAAATATCCATAGACACTGGCTGTATTGCGACATGGACCAACGTTTGTGCGGTGGAAATAAAATAATAAAATTTTATGCCAGTCAATTTAATGGTGGCTTTTCAAACAAGTGGTTAACATAGTCTTACAAAATTAAAAACTACTGTAATTTACGTATACTTACAACATTTCGAAGAAATTAGTGCCCTTTTCCTTCTTGTAAGATTAATATGCGGGCTTGAGATCTATAATGTTTTCTACTCTACATGGTAAAATTATTTTAAAAAAGTATTTTAGATAATACACGAACAATTTTTAACCGAGAATAAAGCCCGTCACAGACGTAGCTATAATATATATTAATATGAATCATAGCAAGACATATTACAACATATTTTCAATATAAATTTTCGAGTGACCGCACATATATATATATTTCTATGACGTCACCAAAATATTTCGACAGATATATTTCGGTATATTACAGTACAGTACGACCGCAGACCGATTGAGGGCAAAATATATAATA